GGGGATCAGTCGTCACTAACAGAGTATTAAGGGGGGGAGGGTGGGGCCCAGAGAAAATTGACTGGCAGTGAGGAAGGGGAACATCACAATTCTGCAGAGCCTGAGAGGAGGGGGGCAGGGGGCCGGTAAACCTTATCGTCACACAACCCGTCTCCCCCGGCGATAACCGGTCCCTAAGTAAAATATAAAAATAAACCTAAACGACTTGTCTGAGTTCAGCAGAATGTACGGGAAACTACCTTGTTCCCTTTTCCCGCGCTCAGTTACAGGCAAGTCTTAAGCTCTCATTGGTTCTTTGTGCGGCTGAACTTTGTTATGATTGGCTGTTGTGATCTCTTAGATCTCAGTTAAGTCTCACCTTTCTCGTCGTTTGCTTTTCTCTTGAAAACAGACCAACAACGGTCACGTGACACAGATAGAAGCCGCTGGCCACTGTGATCAAAGGCTATTTGAGTTACAGTGAGTGCGTGAGAGGGTAACGAGCAGATCTGTCTCCACGTGCTGGTATCCCATAATATTAATGCAGCGTGTTCTGATTTAGAGGCCTACAAAGACAACAAGAATGAGAATATATTGCAGAAAAACCACATCAACGTACAGAAAACCGCTAATTATAATCTTCTCTTGCTTAGGAAATACAATCCCCGATTCGCCTGTACGAGAATTAAAAGATATTCGTACGCATTTCGGTGTGTTTCGTAGGTCGTAAGTCCCAAACCAAAATTATCAAGTGACCAATCGGAACGAAGAAAATAAGGAGTCACAGACAACTCAAAGAACTGCCAAAGCGCGGGAAGATGCGGGCAACCAAGTCGTGATTGGTTTAAGTTTTGGATCTGATTGGTTAAGAGAGTGGTGTGAGTTTTCGGGAAAAATCACAGAGTAATCACAACTAAGGCAAAACTAATGCAATCCCGGATTACTTTAGACACCCTATTAAAGGTTGCTCTATGTCAAAAACACTTCGCTATAACACCTTCCCCCCCCTCCCCCATCGACACACCCCACCCCACCCACATGGTCAAGTCACGCTATGACATCACTAGTAAAGGAACAAGGTAAGAAAGTCATGTTAAAACCTTGCAAGCAGAAGCGAGTAATGTCCCATCAGGACTTGAAGCCACACAGAAAACCTCGTATCCGTGACCATATCTGGGGGAGAGAAAAAGAGGAATACAAAGCTGATTAGATTAGAAGGATGAATGTAAAAAAAATATTCGGACAAAGAACCTTATTGCCAAGCAGTCAATCGAAAGGTCCTTTTAAAGTTTCCCTCAAAGTCTACTTTACAATTGAGCCGGGCGGAACATTTTCTTTTTTTTTATTGTTTTTGTTTACGAAACAAAGCAAACTGAACAAAACAAAAAACATCTTTATAGTCGTCTACAAAATAGCAGCAAGTTTATGCTAATAAATGGTATGCAGCGTATTTAAAGGACGTGCATTGGACGAAAAGGGAAAAGAAAAAACTTTGTACTCACAGTTTCTGTACTTCAGGCCATAGCGTGTTCTGGTGTAAGATATCTTCGGTGGGAGGTTCTGAAAATAATAAGAAAGTCAAGAAAACACAAAAAGTAAATCTTCAACCTTTCAGTCTATGCCAGGGCAACTGTAAAACACTTTGCAAATTAAGGGATTTGTAATTAGCTTTGTGTTAGCATAGCAAGAGATAAGAAAAAAGCCATTGACGAGAACAGTTTGCTAAGAAATAAAAAAGGAAAGCATCACAGGGACGAACCTTTCAATAATACCGGGGTAAATGGAGCCGGCTCCTCACTGGCAAACGCTGACGACTTCATGGGCCTCGCTGGGTCTTCAAGGTCCCTTCTCAGGCTGTCCATGTCACCTGATCAATAAAGAATTCAGTGTTTAACCCTTTACATCCCAACATCAGTGTCCATATTCTCCATAATTTTCTCTATTCACTTCCTTTGTGACTGACAAGGAGAATTTGTTTGACAATCAGAGCTTCTTAAATTGGCGATCATTTCCTTTATCCTCGTGATCTTAATAAATGATTCAGTAGTGTAACTGTAAGGGGAAATTGGATGTTGACCACTTCTAAGGTCTAAAGGGTTAAGAAGATTCAACTCTATGAAAGACAAAAACAACTCTCCCTCATTTCAAATCTTAAATTCCAGCTTTAATTCCAAAAACAAAATATACCTTATTACAAGTGAAATAACAATAATAATAACAACAACTATAATAATAGTAATAGTAATAATAAAAACAAATCAACACGTTCATTCAACTGCTAAAGTTTTTGGCGCTGCTGTGCGATAAAATATGGCAAAGGAGGACCAAAGTGTTGGCTATTTATCAAGTGTAACAGAAGAGTTGAGATCAGGACTATTAAGAAAGAAAAATTGGATATCCACTGATGGATAGAGGATTTGAACTAGCCTCCATCCCTTCCGGATTTCAAATTCAGTGCTCTCGAACCTCCTCCTTCCTGGTCACTCCTAGGAGCGAAAGGGTCCAGAGAGCCGTTGCAGTTCAGTCACAAGTCATAGGCGTTTTCTTTGCACGTGTACTAATAAGCCGTAGATTAAACTGAAAAAAACAGTTCTAACATACA